CATTTTTAAAATATAAGAAAAATATTTTTTCTTATATTGCGAGTTTCTTTAAGATTACCTCGAATAACTTTAAATTTTGAAAACTTTATTTCAATATAACAAAAATTTATGTTGTGAAATAAACTGAAGACAACAAAAAAATCGTAGCGCACTAAGATTCAGTGCTGCTTGCTTCAAGATTTCAAATTTTTATTCCACAGTACCATCTAAAACAATTTAAAAAAATCCCGAAACTGTTTTTTCTTGTCATATAAAGACAAGTTTCTGAAATAAAGTTGCAAGCCTTATTAATGAAAACTAAAAAAATACAAATCCGAAAAGTTCAGTTTTTGCACATTTGACATTATTGTCACTTTACAAAAAAAAAGGTATTTTAATTCGCATTTCCGTTGATTGTTTGTTTAAATGTATAGAAAATCGTTTATAAATGTCCCGTCCTAATGCAAATTGTTTATTAATAGAACACCATTCAAAACAAAGGGTCATTAGTTAACAATTAAATACAAATTCTACCAACTTTAAAACTAGAAAATTACCTGGAACATCCTTTGCAACTTAGAAGTGTACTCAAACCCGCACGCCTGTTTCAGTTTTGAGATCATTGAAGCTTCAGCATCATCACTCGCAGACATATGTTGAACCAATCTCTTAGCCAACATCTTACTGTAGAATTTTTGAAAAACATCCTTATCTTCGATATATTTGAACACAACCATCTGAAACAAAAATGAAAACCGATCCATTAAAAAAACAAATTATACATACGACTTGGTTTAACGTATCTTCGAGTTCCGCCTCTTCAGGATTCTTGCTCGATTTCTTCAACAACAAATCACAGTATTTCGCTAGTAATTCCGGCGATTTACTACTAGAGTTGGCTTTTTTCGTAACAGCATTAGCGTTTATAAAACGACCGCAGGCCTTATCCAAAGCCGCCACGAAACCGCTATCGTTATTAAACGCGACCAACACGAGAGCATTGTACTTCTTATGTACCTCCAAAATGGTATTAACATAAACTTTCGGGTCCTAAAACGGGAAGATTACAAACTGGGGTGATTTTAAATGAAATTAGTTACGTTATGTGCACTTTCCCCGCATTTTTCTATAGCTGAGAGCCCTTGAGCGGCTATATGTTGCTCCAGAAGCGTCCTCAACTCCCCGAGACCGTCGGGAATCCGCGCCACCAACGAGTACATCCTCCCCAAATCCTCGTCCTTGTCCGCATCCAACAACTGTTGAAACTCCGAATGAAACATGTCGAGGTGTTTTTTAATAAGGACACGTTCGCAAGTTTTCGCTAAACGGCCGCTTGTTGTTTCATGTAAATAGACTTGCACTCGTTTTTGTTCTTCGAGAAGACGTTGTTCGGCCTTTTTCATATACTCAGTGACCGGATTTTGTGCTAGGAAATTGTTGCTTTCTTTCAAATAGAAGCGTTCAGTGTCTTCGAGAAACATGTTTTCGAAACTTTCTTTATAGACCGATAGATTCGGTCCTTTGGCCCCTGGTTCTTCCTCGTTCAAGCCCAATTCAACGTAACAGTTTATCACGCCGGAGACTAAACGAGTGTTGATTGTTTCGCCGTTTCGTTCGCGTTCGATCAGTTTCAAAACGGCCGTGGTTACCTAGTTTTAAGACGCGAGAAAAATATCAGAAGACACCCCAAATAGGTGCTTACAAACTCTCAATATTTACACAGGAAGTGGAAACTACCATTACAAAAAATGACTTGCAAACCCTAAAAATTTCTCTAAACTTGCTACACCGTAAAAATTAAAAAAAAAATATGAGTACTCCAAAATCTCAAAAAATTAGTCGTGTTTTTTGTATTTATTTCTGTATTAGACTTACTAATAGCAATTTTCTCAGAAATGTCAGTTTCTATTTTTCAGAATTTTCTTATCATTTCTTAGTATTCAAGTTATTTCTCTGGCATCTTTATCAAAAAAAAAGAGTTAATGGAAAATTCTGGTTTGTTATCTCAATACACTTCATTCCCAAACTATCGTTTTATAAAAATGTTTAGCTTTTCTTTGTTTTTTTTTTATAACTTGCAAAATATAGAAATTTAAAAAATGTAGTTTTGTCTCTTAAAAACATGAAATTTCACAACACAATCTTAATTTTCAGCTTTTCGTTTTAAAATTTGCGTCAGATATTAAAAAATACTAAGTTCTTTAGTAATAAAATCCTGATTTTTTAGATATTTTATTTTTTGTGAATTTTGATATCACAAAAATATGAAATTTTTCAAGATATTTCGTTTCCTAATTAGTCACCTTCCTTAGAAATCTAATTATGTGCATTTATTACGACGATTTTTTTCTTTATTTTTATGATACAAGACTCGTGATACTTTACAGCACAACCTTAATTTTTAGGTTTTTCTCATCAACATTTTTTCAGTTATTCCAAAATGTTTTTTATTTCAAAATCGTAAAGTTTTATTCATTTTAAAAATCACAAAATCACATAAATACATATTTTTTTTGGAAAAGTCTGTTCTTTTCTCTCAAGATATTTCGTTCCCTAAGTCACCATCTAGAAATCTAATTAGGTATTTGTTTTGAAAATGTTTTTCAACATTTTTTTAAGTTAAAAGACTAGTTTAAAAAAAAAAAAGAGTTTTATCTTAAATACGTGATATTTTACAGGACAATATTGATTTTGGCCTTTTTCTCTTTAAAATTTTTATCAATTATTTCAAAATATGTAGGTACTTACTAAGTTTTTTTTTATCTTTAAAAAAATCAAAAGCTTCATTTTATCCAAAGATCTTGGAGGTACCTACATTTTTTTTTAATTGATTATTATTTTTAGTGAGATTTGGAATCTAATTTGCTTAAGCTTTTCTAATTAAAATTATTAGCAATTTTCTTAAAAATATGCAAATTTTCATTTATCTCAAGATTTTATTATCATTTCTTTGTACTTTTATTTATTTCTCTGGATTTTTTAAGATTAAAAATAGCTGATAATTTTTTAGGAATTTGTTTTTTTTTCTTGTCTATTTCATTCCCAAAATCACTTTCTATAATATTTTTTTTTAATCTACCAAAACTAGAAATTAAAAAAATATGTTATATCATGTTAAGAACATGATATTTTACCGTACAATACTGATTTTTACCTTTTTCTCTTTTATTTTTATTAATTACATATTCCAAATTACAAAATTTTTTATCTCAAAATCGTATTTTTTATTAGAATCGTATTTTTATATTTCTTTTCTTTCGTTCACTTTATTAGTCTCAGCCTTAAAAATTAGACAGATTTTCATTTAATACGAAAATTTTATGTAACATTTCAAAATTCTGTTTCCATTTTCTCAAAAATATCATACCTAATTATCATTTATCAAAATTTTGAGACACAAAACGGCTATTTTTTGGAAATCAGTCTTAAAAATATTAAGAGCTTTATTTTATCTAAAGATCATTTTCAAGACTTAGAAGTGCATTTTTTTAAATTGTATTATTTTTTATGAGGTTTGGAATCTAATTTTAACTGCTTAAGTTTTTCAAAGTTCAATTTTCTCAAAAATATCCAAGTTTTCATTTATCTCAAAATTTTATTATCATTTCTTGGGGAAGCAACTTTTTTATCTTCATATCTTCAACCCTTAGTTTAGAAAAACATTTCGTTCCCAAAATCACTTTCTATAATTTTTAAAACTAGAAATTAAAAAGAAATAGTTTTATCTTAAAAACGTGATGTTTCACAGTACAAATTTTACCATTTTCAGTTATTCGAAAATTCTAAACTCAAAATCGTAAATTTTTCAAATTTCTTTTCTTGGTCTTTTTATTAGTTTTTTACTTTATATGAAAATTAAAATTTCAAATTTCTGTGTACGTTTTCCCAAAAATATCTAATAAATACCTAATTTATCAATATTTTGAGAAGACCAAAAAGCTTAGTCTCAAGATTTCAGTTTCCAAAAACTTACCTTTCAATGCTCTATTTTTTACCTTTCCCATAAATATTGATAGTTTTTTTAGCAAGAATTTTCGATTCGTTTCGACACTAAGCATCTAACCTGTTTATTTAATTGTTTGAATAAATGATCTCGCCATGTCACCAAAGCAAGTTGATAGATTTCATAAATTCCTTTCCTTCCTTCTTCGCATTCTCTCTTCACCCAATGTCGATTCAAATACGAACAAATACCATTAAGAACCTTGCTACTGAATTGATACTCCTCCCATTGACGTGTATAAAATTTCAAAACGCCTTCACCCATCCGATTCATTCCGTCCTGTCAAAAGAAGAAAAAAATTTTCATTTTCAATTACATAAACACTCAATTACAAATCTTCCGGTTTCGAAATTACTACGCAATAATCAAATCACGTCAATAACTTGTTTTGCTACATATCTGTTTCCACCTTCAACCAAACAATACGCAGCATCGAAAATGTTTAAAACAACAAAACGCAGTAGGTTCGTAAACGTGAACTCATAAATTAATAAAATTAAATTCACATTTGTTAAGTACATTTTATTTTTCTTCAAACAGTTAAAAATAGATAAAACTAGTGAATAATTCATCAAATTTGAATTTTTTTATTTTTGTCTCGCGTTTTATTTCTCCAACGATGAGATTCCATTAATTGTGTTTCTCAAAATAACACAAATTGTTATAATTACATTTTAACCAAGGTTAATGACAATCTTTAACTGGAATTTAATGCTACGTGTAAACAGAAAGTGTGAAAGCAAAAAAGAGTAAAATGACTTGTTTTTCTACAGGGTGTTTCAAGTTTCATGCAAAGCAAAAAAGTAATGTTTTTAGCAGTGTTTTACTTAATAAAAATTAATTCTAGTTAAAACTTAAAAGCCAAGTTAAAAAATCTTTATTTACAAATCCACTTTTAAGATCATGTCATAAAATTTTTCTCCACCGTGTAATAATTAGATTTTTTCTCGTTCGTTAATCGGCGTGTCAAAAACTAAAATTAAGATCATAAAAATGACAATAACTACTTTCATTACTGCAATTATTACGTCAAAATCATGATTCATTCAGTTTCTTTCGTTTCTTAGTTTCAAGTTTCAACAAAACGCCGTATTTCACAATATTCTTTTTTATTCTGCGCTCGAGTAACACGAAACCGCTTTGACTAATTTACAAATCATTACGACAGATAACGATGATAAAATGTGAACTTCATCCTTTGACCAATTTAAAATTTTAATTTTCGTTATCCCTTCGTTCATTATTCTGTCACACTTTCACCATTCTTCCATCCTCAATATTAACATTGACATTTACTTTTTTTTTTAATTCGATACAAATATTCTCCCTTTTGTTCCATCAAAGTATCGATCGATGAATTAAACGTCACGGCGAAAAGCCACCGGAAAATTTCCTCAACCGAAAATTAGTCTTGCTTGGACGGCAGTAATTACACGATTTTACAGCACGAAACGTCATTCAAGGAAAGAAAAACAGCTATTTTCGAATTTTTCACTCATTTTGTTATTGCCGAATCGTAAATAGTGCAATCACAAAAAGTGAGATTAGCTTAAACTCCGGCGACCTTTTGAACTTTCGCTGAAAATTATCTTTGACCCAAATTTTCACCAAAAATTTACTTTCTTGCATTTTGGTAAAATTATCGAAATGTGGCGCCATAAATCACAGCCATATACAGTGTGAACCAAACGAAACTCACAAAATTCATGGGTCAATCCTGTTCGAATTTTGTGCGTAACTTTTAGTTCACCTGTATAATTATGACAATAAACGCTAAATCGGCGATTTTATCCTAAAATTGTCATGCAATAAAATGTTTTTTTATCTATTACGAATCGATAACGGTGCGTAATTGCCATCATTTATTTCCCGAAAAAAAGAATAATAATTTAACCCGATGTAAAATATTCAAATCTGGTTGATCAACCCTCACCATTTTTTTATGTTTAGGAGATTTGAGTTTTTCGTATGAAATTCAAGCCATTATTTTCGTTATTTCAGGATTGTTACTCCCAAATTAATTGTTGGCACATTCTTCCCTTTGAAATTTTAACTCATTTAATTCTTGAACAGCGTCCAATTATTTTGGGACGGAAACCAGAAAATAAATAAATTATTGAAATGAATTCTCACTCAATTGAAATAAGGATATTGTTGGTGGAAATCGCCCACATACCGCGAATAAACGGTTTGACGTTTCTTCTAAGAATTAAAAAAGTAAACAGCTCATGTTGTAGTCAATTATCTAAAAAACTTGATTTCGACCAACATTCCTAATTCACCCTCTAAAAACATCAAATTAACAAAAAAAAATTAAACTCAATAATTATGGCATTTTTTTACAAAATACTACCACATCCACCTACAAATTTATTATTCAAAACGGGAACAAAATCATTTCCAAATTAATTTCGAATATTTTTTCTTTTTGCAAAAAAATTGTACCACAATGAGACATTGCATAAAACTAATTATTTTTGCAACCTTAAAAGCACAATAATTATTTCAAAATAGCACTTTTATACATTTATGTACATGAAAATATGTTTTGAATAAATAAATACTTCAAGTAGTACTATTGTTCATAACAAACCAACCAACCTTTTCCCCAAATAAATATTTGCAAGATTTAAAATCTTTTTTCACTAGTTGTAAAATGTTTTTCTCTTCTAGTGGTCAATAATCATTTTCATTATTGATCAAGAGCATTAATGGATTAGAGGTGGGTAAATATCGATCTTGAAAAGTAACATTGATATCTAGAATATTATTTAAAAAAATAACAACTTCACATTTTAAGCCATATTTTTGTTATACGTAATCCGTGTGGCGTAATTCTTTTTTTATTCGAAAGGTACATTATTTTTAAACAATTTTGTATTTCATACAAATCTTGTATTGGCCTGGGTTTTAGAGTAAAAAATAATTTACATAATTTCATTGGCGTCCTCTAACTTGGTATACAGAGAGGTAAGTTGGGTTAAATCGCTTTATTTTGGCTTGGGGAATCTCAGGTTACTCTTTGTCCCCATCTTTTCGTTGCACCTGTATACTACAAGTCCAAGAGTGTATAATAAAAAAAAATCCACTTCTTGAATTAATTAACGTGCTAAACATTCATTTCATACATACAATAAATTCATTGTAAAAACATATCGAAGAAAAAAACAAAATATTGAGCAATAGCAATAGAAATAATTAATAAAAAACGTTATGAAACATGTTGCAATGCAAAAGTCCCATCAAAACAGGTTTTTTGCTACTATGACCATTTTTTTAATATGAGAGTGTTGAAAAGACAAAACTAGACATCAAGGGCCTTGGCAAAGATGTAACATTTGCTACATTTCTTCCAAATACTCCTAATTCTAAAGTAACATTACATTCTTTGTTACAGTAACTCAAGAAACGATAATTTCATAATTCAGTAGATAAAATCCTTGTGTTTAAGGTATTATATTCTCCTCCACTGTTTGAAATAAAAACGTGAAGGTTTATCAATAATTGTGAACAAAATTCGATACTCCTGCCTTTTTGGGCAAGTGTGATTATGAAACAAATAAGTGGAAAATGCTTACACTCAGCAAAGTCACCAGATAGTTCCTGAGGAACTCCCTGATCCTCTTGTAGAGCTCGAGCCCCACGAGCTGGGCGCCGCCCCCGACTTGGCTCTTCTTGTTCTTGGTGGAGATGCTGGAGGAGCCCCGGCCATTGGCCTGCTGATGCACCGACGTGCAGTAGTCATAAACGTGGGTATAGAGCTGTATGTAGAGGTACTTGGGCATGTGTTGCTGGCTGTAGGCATGCTCGATCCCAGCGTGTAGGTCCCCCCAAATCTGATCCAGGTCGATCTGTTTGAGCCCTGCTGTGTTATTGACGGAATTTTTATTCGACATCTCCTCAGCACTCCACAGGAAAAACGTTAGCACTCTGCAAGCAACAAAGCAAAATTCACCTTTAGCCGAAAAGGCACGTCCGAATCGCAAGTTTAGAAAGTCACAAATGGAATTTTTCAAATTTGTCTTTCACCTTTTGTTTGTAAAGCTGCACCATAATTAATGATGTATTATTTATGAGTTGGGTTTGACTCACCTCGTGGTTCTATATCATAACAAAAATTTACACTATATTTACAAGTTTTAACAATAACGAGAAACTTTAAATTTACTTTAGGGTGGCGAAAATAAAAAGAAATTTATTGTTGCCTATTTTGAGTTACAAAAATTGACAAATCGAAACCCCGTGAAGGTAGCTGCACTGCCACCACATGCCTGCCAACATTTTCCCCCAGTGAAAGTCATCGAGGAACTGTGCCTAATGTCGCTACGTAAATATAACCTGAAAAAGCGAATAATTGTAACCAAAAAAAACCTTCCTCACGAGTGTCACTGTAAATCATCGTTGTACACGTATGAGACAGACACCAAACTTGCTCTAACCGGTCCGAAATCATATCGAAAACTTTTGCTTGTCAAAATTCAAATTTGAGGTTATATCAGTTTGCGCGGGAAGTGGGAAACGGGTAACACGATGGGTATTCTCGGCTTATCAAAACTCCTGGCCGACGTGGCCCCCCACGCTATCCGAGAGGGCGAAATCAAGCACTATTTCGGTAAGAGCCCCCTTGAAATGCCCAAAATTCAACCCCCATTCCAGGCCGAAAAGTCGCAATTGATGCTTCGATGTGTCTTTACCAATTTTTGATCGCTGTCCGCAACGAATCCGGTCAGTTGACATCAGTCGACGGTGAGACCACTTCCCACCTCCTTGGTACGTTCTATCGCACAATCCGACTCATCGAAAACGGCATAAAGCCAGTCTATGTCTTCGACGGTAAGCCCCCCGAGTTGAAATCGGCCGAGCTCACAAAACGGCAAGAGCGTCGCGACGAGGCCCAGAAAGCCCTCGACAAGGCCACTGAACTCGGGGATGTCACCGAAGTGGACAAATTCAACCGGCGATTGGTCAAAGTGACCCGCCACCACGCCGATGAAGCCAAACAACTACTCACTTTGATGGGCGTTCCGTATATCGAAGCCCCCTGCGAAGCCGAAGCCCAATGCGCGGCTATGGTCAAAGGAGGGCTGGTTTACGCCACCGCAACGGAGGATATGGACGCGTTGACGTTCGGCTCGAATGTCTTATTGAGACACTTGACGTTTAGCGAGGCGAGGAAAATGCCCGTGCAAGAAATTCACTTGAATAAGGTCCTAGAGGGGCTCGACTTGGACCAGAAGGCGTTTGTGGATCTGTGCATTTTGCTAGGGTGCGACTACACAGAGAGCATCAGGGGAATTGGCCCCAAAAGAGCCATCGAATTGATCAAAAAACACAAAAGTATTGAGGAAATTTTGAAGAATATTGATGTGAAGAAGTACCCCCCGCCGGAAAATTGGAATTTTGAGGGGGCGAGGCTGCTGTTTGAGGAACCAGAAGTTTTGGAAGCTGACAAAATTGAGGTAACTAAATTTTCAAAATTTTGTTACTTTAGTTTTTTAATGTTGTTGGTACGACAAGAATTGGCCTTTCTTTCACGAAATGTCACTACCAACTTGACAAAAATTATTTTTTTCTAGTTGAAGTGGGCCGACCCCGACGAGGAAGGCATGGTGAAATTCCTCTGCGGCGACAAGCAATTCAATGAAGAACGTGTCCGAAACGGCGTTAAGAAATTACTAAAATCACGTTCGAGCAGTACTCAGGGCCGGCTAGATGGATTTTTCACCGTTTTGTCAACAACACCAGCGAAACGTAAAGCCGACAACAAGAAAGAAACACCCAATAAGAAAAAGAAGACTGGTGCAGGTGCCGGTAGAGGGCGTGCTAAGCCCAAGTAATCTCAAATAATTTAACAAAACTCGAATCACAGATCTGCTCTAATCCATTTTATTTACTAGTTCTTGTAAGAGTGTGTTATTGCATGCGAAAGTTCTCTTTTTTACATAATTTTTTGTCCTAATCTGAAAGGAAAATCAATATTATTATTAATACATTGTTTTGATCAAGTTGAGCGTCTCACCAGATATTTCGTATCCAAAGTATTGTCTCTTTTTGCTAGATTCCACAAATTTAAAGCTAGGACCAGCATTTGATTGGTCAGGTCGTTCCTCACGGCCAACTTGACGCACAATTCAATTGCGAAAGTCGACTGTTTGGTGCAAGGCCCCAAAGATTGTAATTTACTCATCAATTCGCCAGTCACAACTGAACAAATCTTATTAATTTCGGCGATAAATTTCTTATCGGAGCCGTACAACGAATCGTTTGATTCAACTGTAAAAATGCGATACACCAGTGTTACCAACTTAACTCATGAACTCACCTTTATCGATGTGGTAGGGATACCATTCCTGTGCCATCACACTCAACACATCAATAACACTCAAATAAATCGAAATGAGTGAAATATTCGACTCCCAGTTGTAGCCTTGTAGCACGTTCAAGAGCGACCTTGTCAAATTGAGAACGCTACAATCGGGATTATCAGGCACTACCAACAAAATAGACAAAAACTGTTTAATGTATGGAATGAGTTCAGTTTCAGGAAATTGCGATTTGTCATTTTGTATTTCCGAAATTGTGGTCAAGGCGGCCTTGAAACAAGCATCTGCCTGACCCAAACACTGGTTAAACAGCGCCACCTGTCCTGAGAGGAGATACAACCTCAAGCGATGCTTAGGTGACTTGATCGAAGGTATGGTGATGAAGCAGTAAGCGGCGCATGCGCGTACGAAATCGCCTGTTTTTCTCGTATGTAAACCTTTGACTATTTGGCGGGTTTTGACAGAGAGGGCGTTGACACATTGGACTAATTGCACAAAAACTATGTCTATATTGGAAAAACTCCCTCTCGCCTCCACGTAGAACGTCAATTGTTGCTCGAAATCGCGTCCGTAGTCGATTGTTTTGATCACGTGACATAAAATGTCACCGATTTGTCGATACTCGTCCTCGGGTGTTAACGCATTGACCGAATCGTGTAAAACAGTGCAGAGGAACAAGAGGGCGTTGACGACCACGGCGTCGTTGACAAAAATAAGACTGTTGCTCCCACTTAACACTTTTTTGCACACTTCGACTCTGATTGATTCTTGTTGAAATAGGTCAATTAAAGGTAGGAAATTTTCCAAGACAAGGAGTGCTTCAAAGTCTTGAATAATTAAAACTATATTTTCGACGATGTTTTTCAACTGATTGTAATATTGTTCGTAGCTGCGGTCTGGAGTTATGTGATCGATTATGTCACCCAAAATCGTGTTTAATTCCCGATGCTTGAAACAAAACATTTAAAAAATGTGCGCCCTCTTGTGGCACTCACCGAGAAGTATTTGACGACGTAAAGTACCCACGGCTCGGCACATGCTATATATTCCTCGACTTCTTTCAGGCTCGTTATGTGTTTCCAAGCCGTGCTTAAAATCTGTCTTCGGTGTTCCAGAGGTGGGGGCACCACACTCACACACAATCCCAAGGTTCGCAACAGGGAATGCAGGGGGATTCCCTGGTCTAAACAATGCTCGATCATGTCCAAAAACTGCAAAGTCCGGGATGATATCAAATGGGGTTTGAAGGCCGACATCACTGTATTAAGAATCAACGAACTGAAATTTCAAAATTAAACAGAATTTCGACTCAATTTATCAAAACCTATTTCCGTGCACTTTACATCTCTCGAGGAGGTCGTTCAAGAGGGCGTCGGAATTGTCGTACGCCACTGTTTGCAACATGTAGTCGAGAGCAGGGGTGAACAAAGACATGTACACCGATTGGGAGACTTTCTGTTGGGCTAATTCGGCCCTAACGCTGCGACTAAACAACTAAATTTGGGGTAGTTTAATTCTTGAATTAAACTTACATGTTGGTAGTTTTGCAAAAACCGGTGGAAGTTTTGTAAGAGGTATTCTTTGTTTTTTATACGGTTGGACACACTGCTGCCGATTCGGCACAAGTAACACCGGGCATAGACCGCCACTAGGGGGTTGCCAATGCCGTTGATCATGTGCGTGAGGCGTCTTAAGGCTTCGTGACACTCACTAAAAAACAGGAATCTGTATTATCGACCGAATTCTTGTCGATCTCACCTTAGGGAGAGAAAATAGTATGACTTCATTAGCGCCATCTCGACGTATAGTCTGGGTACTAGTTCTCGAATCGAGGCGATTTTGTAAAACCAGTTCAAACACGTTTCTTTCGCCGAGTCTGAGACCATGTCGGGGGTGAAATCCTCTGGTAATTTCACTTTTGAGCCCAACTTGTGTGAGTCTGTCTTAGTGCTCAATCGATTATAGACCAATTGTCCGAAAACGTCCAAAATATCAGTGACGAGTACAAATTTACTGGGATAAAACGTCAAAACGCTGGTATCTGATAAGAGTTTAGCACACTGTATTGCGATTTTCAGGGCTTTGACCCTCTGTTCTGAGTTCCAAGCTGAGACAAGTTCCCTATTGAGTTGCTCAATCCTGTTCACATACTCAGTTTGTGACAAATCAAGTATGGTTTGTGACCCCTCCTCTATGTAATCCAACTGTTCAAGTCTGTGTTGCATTTTGTCAACTGCCGTGCTTTGGGCCTTGACGACCACTACAACTGATCGGTTATAACCGAAAAAATAGGAATCTGTAACCACCTTTATCCCCATCTGAGAGAAAGCTAGTAACGATTGAAATCTTCTCAGAAGTCGTATATTTGGACAAAATCGCCGCTTTTTTCGCCGTCCAGGTGTCGATGTCGGGTCTATGATCGGATGACTTTTTGTCGTGACTTGAATCCACCTTGTCTCTGCTCTAAAACCCCAAAGTGAGAAAAAAAACGGTGGTAGAGACACAAACCTCCTCTGCGGCGAGTTTTGTCAAGGGATCCATTTCTTCAATTGCGAAGGCCGTCAAGGGATCAACCCCCTCAAGAGCCATACTCAAAGGCTCTAAAATCACAGAAGGGGTGGAAACGGGGGTTGTGCGACCGGTGCTGGGTTGAGACCCCAGGATGCGACGTGGAACTCGTTCCGTCACCTGAATTTATTTATAAGACTGGATAATTAAAAATATCCACTCACAATTGCCGTTTTAAGGGGGTGATCGGTGGTTTTGACCGCACTGAAGACTTTTCTTTTTGCAGAAAAGCTCTCGTCCGTGCATGTTTTCCTACAATTGAAAAAAAAAACGTTAAATTAAACGTTTCACACTAGATAATCACTCACCATTCTATACTTGTCATAATTACAGGTTTTTTCTTAACTTTTTCTTCTTTGTTGTCAAATGACAGTGATCCTAACCTCAATACTGCAGATAAGTGCTAGAAAAAGATGGGTGTTTGGGTCAGTGCGCAACTGACAAGGATAGAGAGACAACAATTGTTGCTAAGTGTCGTTTTACAGAATTGACCAGTGGTGACTCGTAAAGAGGGGGCCTTCTACTCATAAAAATTTGTATACGTCAATTAACTCAAAAATTATGTTAAATAAACGAAAGTAATGTCAATTTGAGATGTTGTCAGTTTACTATCAATATCTGAAATAATAATACCGTGCGATCAAATAAAAAATAAATTAAAGTAGGCGTCGATTAAATTCTACAATTGGCAACATATTGACTGGGAATCTGGACTGGAAATTTTCCACACAAACTGAAAGTTATCCACCGTTTTCCTCTAGTACAGCAATAAAGATTTTCCGCTCTAAAGTGGACAATATTTCACTCAAAAGGAATAAACTCAAACTTGTCAAAGTTTCCCCTGACATTTGATGTCAAAAATCAGGATTAATCACCGCCTACTCTAATTTGTTTGTTTGTTTTTTTTTTTTTTGATCTCTCGGTATATGTACGTAATAAATGCAAACAATGCGTTTCATATTTCTAATTTTAATATTTTTTACTTTTTACTTCCTGACATTTGACAACGAACAAATTAAACTGCTACTTGCTTATGCTAATTATTAAGAAAAATAATAGCGTTGTTTGATTCCTTCACGAGACGCCAATGGAATTAGGGAAACTTGGTGTTTCATGATTTCATGAATAATTTTAACTATTTTCCGGTTAATTTGAGCACACAAATCAATTTATGATTACCTAAGCCCCAATAGAATCAAAATTTAAAAATCGTGTTGCGTAAAAAAGTGAATAATCGATGAGTTTAAAGACCTTTGTAAATCACCCCAAATTTCAATTTCGATGTTTATGTATTGGCATAAATAATAATCCACAATTTGTAAAACATGCAAATCTTTGTCGGAAATAGAATTTTTTTTTAGGTTTTAGATATTTAAAAAATGCCAGTTTCGTAAGAGTGAATTTAAATAAATATCTAACCATAAACACGTGATAAGAAAGTGGTAGCAAGAGTAGGGACTGACCTACACAATATATTTTTAGCGTTACGTAACCGTTCTCGCGGATTTTCGATCAAGAATTTCAAGGTCATTGATATCCCCCATGTTACGCCACTGTCAATTAATAATAGTGGTAAATAATATCGATTATCACTAAATGCCACAAAGAAATGTTGTTTGAATCGTAAATGATACAATTGTTTTATTTTTAAAATATAAACAGAGAAAACCGGTTATGTTGTCAAGTTGTTTCATCGCAAGAAATGAATGTTTGTTTTTGTTGGGAAAAAGACTGGAACCCACCGAAAGCTTATAAATAAAATAACTAAAGATAAACAAGCGATTAAGTTATTTTTATCCCATTTTTCCTCTTCGGAGACCTTGTACTCGAGTGAAGAAGCACTTTCCATCATCCTTTCTCTTCTTCAACACACCCATCCTTTCACATGCAAATCCGGCGCCATTTATGGGTGCTTCCATAAATTAGACAAGAACCCGCTCTATAAATAAATCAAAAAAGGGAAAAAATGCAAGCGGTCGCATTGTGGGGCCCCCATCTCCACCATCATCAATTGGCTAAAATAGGAAGTTGGCTGGTGTCACTCCTGTCATTTTGCAAACAAAAGCCTATCGGCGGGATTGATTAATCAGAAGTTGTCCCATGGCCCCATCCCGATGGTGGGCGCATTTCCCTTTTGTGGTAAAATGGGTTGGGCGCCGTCCCCCCACCCCCGGGGATAAACAACGCGATGGCGACACAGCGCCCCAGTTGGGAAACAAACAAACTGTGCAACGAGAAAATGGCGCTTTCTGTCGAGTCGAGTGCATTTGGTCGTGAGGTTGCGGCGAGAGTGCTTCCAGACAACAGCATCGTTTGAGCCGTTCGATGGTTAAATCGCCCCAAAACGACGAAAAACGGTGAAAATGAGTGAAAAATGCGAGAAAAACGGGCCTGAAAACCCGGATGGAAAAACGCCTGCAACGCTTCCCCAAGGTGACGTCGTTCAACAGAAAGATGCGTGCGCACCCGCGAGAAACGAACCGAAGCCGAAGTCGCCCGAATGCGACATACCGACCAAAAAGAGAAAGACGAGACGCGGAAAATCCAAAAGGAGGTAAGAAAGAAAATTCGCTTTTCCAAGAGGGGGGCTTTAATTAATGCGCACGAAAAACAATGGTTTTTAACAAATTTACACCAATCAATTCGTTTACACGACGAGGAAAAACCGGAAAGTGTGTCAAGGTCTGGAAGTCGTGCGGGCGCAAAAAATTTGAATTAAACCGGAAGTGCAGCCAATTACACACTTGCAAATTACTCTAATCTTATCAAATTCGAGAAATTATCATAAATTTCTCCAAGTTTCCGTTTAACATAATTTACATAATCCCGAAACAAAAGATGAACGGTTTTGTGGCCGCAGGCCACTCGATGCGGCAATAAATTAAGTCGTATCTTCATGTCATGATTTTTTTCCGAAATAGAAAGTGTCATAAAATGAAACTACGACTAAAATGGCGCCGTATCATTGTATTAGAAAGAAAATGAAATTCCGCTCCGAATTGTAAATTAGTAAATTTTTTTCTGATTAAAAGAAAGAAGAACAAAATTGTGACAATGAAGATTATTGGATAAAATAAAGGTGTTTTTATTTATTATTTTTGTGAATTTTTTCTAATCTGAATCTGTTTATTATCATTTGCTCATAATTAACTTTTTCGACCTGAAAAAGGCGGCTCTGCGTATAATAGTCCAACGTTCATATATACCAACTTGACAAAGATTTATACTCATTCTAGGGTGTAATTTATTTTATTCAACACTGGGGCTAAATAGTATATTATGTACTAGCCGAGCTGTTTATTACCCAAGATGCGTAGCATCGAGAGGGAAATAATAAATGTGAGGCTATAAAAATCTTCTCTATCATGTTTTATACAATATTTTTTTCATTGCTAGCATATTTATTACCCAGAAATACAACGGTGAACAATATAACTTTACTTAATGGGCATGTAGCCTCAGTCGTAATTCACAATTATTTTTATAATAATTAATAACATAGAAATTGTAAAGAAGAGGGAAAAAGCGTTAAAATTTGCCCTACTCCGGTAGTATTTCAAATGAAGTAGGCCTATTTGTCGCTTTGACAGTTTTGACAAAGACAGAAATTAAAGGTGGGGTCATTCTAATGATTTTAATGAGACGGTTAAGTTTTTTTTATTTTGCATTAATTTCATCTCGAAGTACCGTTAATACTTTTTGTATACCAACCTGACAACAATTCATCCCTACTTTAGGGAGTTTTTTTAATTAATAGTATAATTATTATACTGTGTTTAAAATGTTGCAATAAAGAAATGGATTTAGTTTTCTGCGAAAAATTGTACTTTTCTCTTTCTTATCGGCGAGTTCTCACAACCACACAAAGAACTAGTTTGGGAAAAACGGTTTGTATGTTTGGATATAACATCGGTTTTTCATTGTCCAAATTCCATTGTGTCAAATAATTTGATTATTATGATAATTATGTTTTTTTTTCTCGTTTGCGTTCTTTTTATTGAATGTTGGAAGGTCTAGTGGTCTCGCTTCCAGCAGCTGCCATTATAAGTGTGTCAGAAAGGACAAAGATAATGTCAAATCGCGTTTTTCTAATCACTAAAGAGTAAAAAAGTTGTGCAATTATGACGTCACTTCACTCAGGTCATGGAAGAGATTTTTATCTAGTGTAAAAACGACTTGCACAATAGACAATAAATAAGTTAAAACAGAAATTAATTTATGACGTCATGAATTTTTTTATTGCTCTATTTACTCAACTGTTGCTTGTGATAAGCTTTATATATTGAATTTTATCGAAAATTGACACCCTCCCCATGGGGTGTGAGGAGAAAATTGAGGGTAAAAATAAACCCTCCACGTTGTTCGCCTCGTGAATTGTGAATTTGCTCAAAGAAAAGAAACCAATTGGCGAAAAATTAGGCTAAAGTAAATTGAAAAAAACAGATGTAATTTCCGCTGAAACCGCTAATTGTCTGTTAAAACGGGGCAATTGGGACAGATTTTTTACTTTCTCGGAGGATTTAGAGTATTGATCGTTTAATCCATTGTTAAAAYACAGATAATAAATAGAAACCACAAGTTGATAAAATTAATTATACAATTTGTGCTAAAAATCATCAAATTGTTAAAAAATAAATCCCACTTCCTCAATATAATTAATGTGAATAAACATGAATTAGAAAGACATTAAATTAATAGATAATAAGGTCGTTTCATTATCAATAAAGTGTACAACGAGTTGGTTTCAAAGACAAAAAGCTTGGGTTGAAGCATCTAAATTTTCAACATCTTCACAATTTCAACATTTTAAATGATAAAGTATTCGAGTAGATACTGTAATGACTTTGTATCTAAACAATTAGACAGTGAAAAGTAGTTCTATTAGATGGTTGTGGGTATTTTCCACTTCTAGTGTTAGAAATTATGAAAATTCTTGGTTGAATCTAATTTCCCACTAGTGGTCGAGGACCGGACAAGTTTTTCCTTTAAATATTTATTTTGAGAGGTCTCGGACAAACAAAGACTCGTTCTAATTGAGAGTCAAACAAAATTCAAACTTGTCTCGCATTTGTAGACCCTTGAAACATGACGCATAGCATTTAAGTCGTAAAAAGGCACATCTCGCAACCCTCAAATTTATAGCTGAAGTCTACCCTTCACTCTTTCATCGCTCGATTACGGCAAGCCTGATAAAGGGAAATCAATTCGTCTTTGTCGTTACGGAAAATTTTCAGTACATGATCTTTCAGTAAATATTTCATTAATTGAAAGTGGAAAAAGTCCAAGTTAGAGTAAAGTTTTAATCGATGCATTGCTTATTCCGTGTCTGAGGTGATTAAAGGGTGAATAGAAACGTTTCTGCTATGTTTATTTTTTATGCTACAATGTGAATACTTTGTTGTATCATTATGGTAATTTTACAATTTATTGTTCCACGACTTCAAAATCCTATGTAATATTGAACGTCAAGTTTGACAGTTAAATAAAACAAAAAGCGGATGAGCATCATAGGTCCAAATATCTCATTAACTTATTAATTTTATTCACAATTATGTATTATTATTTTGGAGCTCGGGAAATTTGTCATACTCATTACAGCCCGTAATTTATGAAGAAACTCCAAGGTTGTGAGACATCAAATGTCAAAAACGCAATTTGCATAGCAACAGTGTCAATATTTTATTATTTAAAGAAACGTGATTGTGAATAAAATAGTATACAAACCTCGGTGGAAATGTCATTAATGACACATTTTCCAGCTCGCATGTAATCTACTATTTATTTTGTTTGAAAAAATATAGAACAAGTCTGTAACTGTAACAATAAAAAAAATGAACCTAATTTTGTTTATTCAAAAAAGATTGGTTGAAAATTTCAAATATGGGATCTTTTAGAATAATATTTTATTAAAATACATTTGGTGCTTCAAAAATCGTAAAACTTTGTTGTAAACCAAAACAGATTTAGTCCAATTTAGAATCCCAAAAAAGAGATAAGAATAAATTTATGAAGAATACCTAAACAGCTCAGATGTGAATTTTTAACAATAGGCTTGTGATAAGACACGTAATGAATAATTTACGTAAAAAATTTGAATAATTTATTTATTGAGTGATAATAAATTGGTATGCATTGTATTAAAATTTGGAGAAACCGCATTGACAGAGCAAAATTTTCCTAGCAAAAAAAAATAATTTCAATTTCAACCAAAAAAAGCTGACTTCAAGGATTCTATTAAATATTATACAGGGTGATTTTGAAATCACGGCACGCGCTGTAGAATTTTTATTTATGGATCAATTTCAAAAATTAAAAAAATAAATTAAATTGCTTGCTTAATATGAGTTGACAATTTTAGAATTTTTCTAAATGTGTTATTCATTTATTTTATTGGTATTTATTTATTTATTTTGTTTACTTTTAAGAAGATTATTGTTAATGTCAATTTTTATAGCACACCATGCAACTAAATATTATTAACTTTTATTATAGTTTTTTTTAACTTTCATGATTTTTTAAACAATAATTTTTAGTGAAAGTAGAACATATTGCACATGTCTGTATCAAGAAAACTTATATCTACCAAATTTTGAAAAAAAAATTAATTGGGTCCCTATGGAAAATTAGAAAGTAGAATATAGCCCAAAATATACTATGACATTTAGAAAAATTTTAAATTTGTCAGCTTATATTGTATTAGAAACCATTTAATTTATATTTATAATTTGGGGCCATAAATAAAAATTTTACAGCGCCTAGTTTTTTTTTTTAATCATCTATATTGGAATTTCTAATCTTCGTTTTTATAAAAAGTTATAAAACCACATTTAATTTCTATAATCATAAATCTTTCAATTAATAAATCTATTTTAATTCTTTTATTTATCCATTTATAAGTATTTAATTTTGTAAGTAAAATGGCCGTCACTCAATTTCAACTTTTTCACGAGTCATTGCTGATAATGATAATTCCATGCCTTCAATTAAATTTTTGATCAGAGTGGGCTGTGTTGTGTTCAGTGTTGCCAACTTAACTTTAAATCATCGTGACTTTATTCAAATCGCCTTTTTTCCAGGTACCCGTACCCAAAGAACGGACGCAAGTCCACGAAAGTAATGAAACCGGAAGCCCCCTACAACAGCAACCAGTTCCTGTTGGAGGACCACGGCAACATCGAGGAGCTGGACGAGAACCTGAAGAACGCCGACCAAAACTCCACCACGTCGCGGACGCGCGACTCCAGCTTCAGCGTGGACTCCGAGGGGGAGTTCTACTCGTCCCCCGACGACGAGGAGCAGTTCCTCATCAAGGACTTCGTCGATCAGTACGAGAGCGTCCAGGCCGAAAGACTGCAATCGATGTCGAAAGACAAACTCATCCAGGAGTACCTCATGCTCGAGAGCAAACTGGAGCTGTTGACGAAGAGGCAGCGCAAGAGGGAGGCCACCACCAACTCATCGGCGGACCTCCAAAGCGAGGTTGAAAGACTGACGATCGAAAACGAAGCTTTAAGACGCGAAAACGCCGCGTTGCGGAGTAAGACTTGCAGTTCGAATTCGGAGGACTCGGAGACGGACTCGAACGACTCGTGCTCGAGCACGAGCAGCAGCAGCAGCAGCTGTTGCTCGGCCGAGGCGCCGCCGAGTCCCGTGCTCGACTACTCACAGACGAATGGCCATTCGGCGAGCGTCGAAACCGTCTGAGGACTTTCATTTTTGAGTTTTGAGAGTTTTAATACCAGTGTTGTTTCATTCCTAAATTTTAAAGGGCTGTTCTCGATTCCAGTTTTTCGTTATTTGTAGAGACAGTAAGTGTAAAGTGCTTCGTTTCGATTATTTATGGACATCGCATCACAATAGACAGTCTTATTGTCCTCCATAGTTACTTAGTCGGTTTTCTCAATACTAGTTTCACAGGTTCGGCCATTTTTTTTGTATTATATCATTATTTATAAAAAATGTACGTTTTTATATTGAAATTTGTAGATAAGAAATCTAGATTTAAATTATTGCATAAACAAGTTAAAATGACGCTTACGGTGTTTCAATTCTTTCACCCTGAATAACAAAAATTAAACTTTATTCTTGCGTCTAAGAAACGGTATCAAAATGTAACAATATAAAACTTAGCCTAGGTTTTTTTGCCCCTAACTTTGACCTTAGATGGGGGGGCGCTCGGATTGACCCCCTTGTAGAACTCCTTTAGCAAATCCATGGCTTCCTCGGCCCTGAAACCCCCCTTGATGAGCGTCTTTGGGTGAACCATAGCCCCAACATCGAACACAGTGCGACCCCCAAACCTGTCATTTTTACAACCAAAAACAATACTTTCCACTTCCAAGTCATACAACGCATTAATACACATAATGCACGGCTCCACGGTCACAAAAACCGAAATTTGTTTGAAAAATTGTTTCAAGTTTAAGTTATTTGTTCGACAATAGTCTGTGACTTGTTCAATGCAGTTGATTTCAGCGTGTCTGGTGGCGTTTTTAGTTTCATTGACTGTGTTGCGCCCAAAGGCGATGATTTGGGTGTGATTGTGGACGAAAATGCACCCCACGGGGACTTCCTGGGCTGCTAGGGCTTCGTGGGCGTGTCGGAAGGCCTGCTCCATGAATTCTTGCTCAGTTTTGGTCAGTTGGGGCTCCATCAGTCATGTATTTCAGCAAGTCGTGGTTTTTGAAGAAAGTTTCGGCTTTTTCAGGCCAGTTTTGGTTGTTTTTCGAGCGGGGACTCGGGTGGGGCAGTCTGATGACTCTGATATCGCTGTTGTTGGTTTTCAGGGTGGCTAAAGACCGTTTTTCGGCGTATTCCCCGATTCCGATGATGATTTCAGGTTGGAGCAATTGGATGATTTGGAAGTAGTGTCTGTCGCAGATTTCTTCCAAGACTTGGGTGTCCTGTAAAGAAAAAGAAATCATTTCAGTTTCTAGTCGTGTTGATGACAATACCTTGATGTCGCGTGGGGTCAAGTTGCCCCCATCGCTCTTCAACATGGCTATAGGACAATAGTTGTAAATGAAGCAATTCCTGAAGAACTTTTCAGGGGTGCCACATAGTTTTTTCAGGACGTTCCAAAGTCGGTCTCCGCTGACTTCGGAGCGGGTGCAGGCGAAGCCCAAGACGGGACGCTGGGGGCACTCTTTCTCCGGCTTACCGACTTCCTCTTCGATTTTTAGCCAATCGCGGACCGACTTGATTTCGCCGAAAGGCACCCCCGTCTGGCACATGCCGAAAGGGCCGGGGTTCATGCCCAAAAAGAGGAGCTTTTTGGGGCCCTGGCAGTACTTTCTCACGTAGGCTTCGTTCGCTTTGAAGGCGTACTCCACGGGGTTGTACACATACGCCACTGGGGGCTTGAATTGAAGGGGCTTCAGGGCTGTGTTCAATTCTAGTTGGATGTTTAAGAACTTTTGGGCAAAATCGTCAGAGCTGGAGGCTTCCGGGGCGGCACGTGGGAGTTTTAGGAATTTGTCAGGGGCAGTTTTGGACAGCTTGCGTTTCAGCATGGTTAGGGGGCACAGTTTACCAACCTTGTCGATAAATCCCATGAAATTGTTCGTATTTCTGTGCTATGAAAATAATATTAGTTTGTTTTGAAAATCATGAACCAAAAACTACAGATTCCTGTAATTGGGGGGAAAAGTACCAACAAAACTCATACCAACTGAAAAACTCTCAAATCCCTGCAGGTTTACAGGAAGGCGTATTCAAATTTGTTTATTATTTTTTTAAGTTTTCATATTAGAAAAAAACTGGAATAATTTAACTTTAACTACTTCTGGAATTTCAAGCTAAAACTTACGCCAAACCTTTCCTCTTAATGCCTCAATGACCGCATTCTATGAATTTTCTTGTGCAAATTGAAAATAACAATAAAGAACCCAATTTTATTTTCACTCACTTTTGATAAGTGTAAACAGTAATCGCCATATTTCTTTACTGTGAAAATTACAACTTTTCACTATATTTTTTTTTCACACTTAATTTATTGTTTCATTATTATGGATTTTTTTTGTTTTTAGTAAACACATTTTTATGTTGTATTTATATTATATTACCTCAAGAAAATACGCCTATGAAACAGTAAGTAGCTTTTTTATTTTTTAAAGTAGTTTAGGGAATTGTAGGGATTTTGGAAGCAACAATCTAGGGACAAACGCTTAATCTCATCTGGCGTCACTGCTGCAAGCTGCAATTCGTTATTTTAACTTACTGTTGGCTGTACTTAGTGACACCGCGATCATTTTTCTTTATTATTCAAGACTTTTAGAATTTTAAATAAGAAGAAATGGATCCAGGACCTTCAGGAGCAGCAGGTTGTGAGTATACCAATTTCTGTTCAACTTGTTCGTTAAAAGTTGATACTTTTTTCAACATCATGGCGGACCAACAACGCCTTTTGAATTTTTTCTTTAATCATCGCGTTTTTCCTTGCCACATTCAATGCCCCAAGTGCCATTCTCGTTTAGAAATGCACGATTTCAGTTTCAGGTGCCAAAAACTCAACAAAAAAAACCGGCGAAAATGCAATTTTTTCTCATCAATTTTCAAAGATACGTTTTTCGATCATTCTCATTTAACTTTCCAACAAGTGGCAAAATTGGTGCACTTGTGCTTGTTCCAAAACAATCCACGATGGCGTTTCATTTCAAATGAGTTGGAAATCAGTTCTCGTACGTTGGTTGACTGGCTTTCTATTATTAGGGAAGTTTTCATTTTCTGGTCTGTCCAACATTCTGAGGTTCTTGGTGGTGAAGGCAAAACTGTTGAGATTAACGAAGCCAAAATTGGCAATCGGAAATACAACAGGGGCCAATACCTCGAGGGTCAATGGGTGTTGGGCGGAATTGAGGGCGAAACTAAACGCTCTTTTTTTGTGGCAATTCCCAATCGAACTTCTGACACTCTCTTTTCCATCATCAAAGAGAGAATTCTCCCGGGGACGACAATTGTCAGTGATTGTTGGAGAGCTCATGATTGTCTGTCTCCAGAACATTATCATCATCTGACAGTCAACCATTCTCTCAATTTCGTTGACCCAGGAACCGCTGCTTACACTCAAAACATCGCAAGATGTTGGGTGGAAGTGCGAAGAAAAATGCCGCGGGCAGGCCGTAGCAAGGATCATCACGAAGGCTACTTGGCCGAAGCACTTTTCCTGTGGACCTACTCAGATCATCGAGAGCGTCTACATCATTTCTGGACCGCGGCATCACAGCTTTACCCCGGAATTCCCCATTGTTAAATTTTGTCACTTTTCTTTGTCATTTTTGCACTTGGGGCTAGTTTTTGAGGGTGTTTTTCATTTTGGTGTCTTACTTTTTTATTCATTATGTGTTTTGTTCTTCCCTTCATTATACCTACCCATACTAACATACCTAGATCCTATCCCTCCCCGGTGAGAGCGTTGCCGCCTCTACATGGTCTCACTAGACATACATTTCATGGGGTCTTGGAGAATATATTAAAAACATAACATAAAAACGGTTAATAACATTTATTATCGAGCGTTTATTAAATTTAAATTTATTAAACTATCGGGTAAATTACGACCCCATTTTATGTATGAACAAATGGCAACACAATTAATACTCCCCTTTCAAGGTCATATCTTCAATCTAGATTTTTTTTTAAAAATCAAAAAAATTCCAAATTTTTTTGAAGTCGTCATTACTTCGAAAACGAAACATTTGTACAAACTTTCGTATCTTCAATCTAAAGGCTTTTTAAAGCAAAATGCAAAAACAATTTTTTTATACAGGTGCGCCAGAACCCCCCCC